CGCCCGGCAGAGGGCAGCACCCGCCCCCGACGCCCCGCCCCCTGCCGGCCTTCCGCAATGCCCACTGGGAAGCGTAGTCTCCTCGACGGCCGCGCCGCTAGGCACGCCGGGACTTGTAGTTCCGCTTTTCCGGCTTCGTTTCCCAGACTGTTGGCGTTTAACTCGGAACCTTCCTTTCGCTTTGTTTCTGTCCCTTTTGCAGGTATTCTTTCTCATCTCAGCCAGTAATGCCCCGAACCAGAGTTCACTGCAATACTGTGTGGCCCGTGTGACCTGCAGCAGGCCTCCTTGCGGGAGGTGGGGAAAAGGTGGAGCCGGGACAGTGCCCTGCTGTCACTAGTCCTCAGTGGGACACCTGCTGCCTTGCGCTCCTGGTTTGGCTGAGGTGCCCACGAACTTGGATCCCACAGTTATGCTTCCTCCGCTGGTTGGAACCAGTCTGGCGAACCCAGGACCAGACCAAACCTGTTGCCATCTCGAGTCAAGAGCCTTTGAGACCAGAATAGAAACTTGCCCATCGTGTTTCCAAGGGCGTGCGTCTGTCTTGAAGGGAGGCCGGCTGCCCAGACGCGGCTGGTGGGTTCAAACCACCTTCCTTTCCCTTAGCAGCCTAGCCCAGTCCTTCGAACCCATAAGCAGCCTCGTGGTTTCTGCACCACGGTCTTTCCTTTACGTAGCCCCAGTGATCCGATCCCAAAGGTCAGCAGTTCGAAACCACCACCAGAAGCCCCCTGTTGCTAGGGCGAGTTTTTCTAACCTCATTTCTAGAAGTCAGAGTACTGGGTTTTGTTCTCTCCTTCCTCCTCCTTCTCCTCCTCAACACCAGGGGCCCTAGGTTTCTGGGTACTTGACTAGGAATCCCCTAAGGAGAACAGGGATGCAGCCCATAGGGACAAGGCCCCTTGCTGCAGGCCTGGGCAGGTGAGGGGCCTGATTCCCACCTGATTTAAGTAGCTCTCCCATGTGTCCACAGCTGCGGGCCAGTCCCCACCCCCTTCACATACAAGCCACAGGATGCCAGGGTCCAAGTGAAAAAGATGATCCGCTCACCCCTTCCCAAGTCCTGTGGAACTGCATTCTGGCTGCACTGCCCTCCTCCTGAGAGGACCGCGGGATGACAGTTACAAAGGAGCCCAGGCATCCAAGCTCCCCGCAAAGTACCGGCAGTCTCAGCTCGAGGGACAGATGATGAACTCAGGCCCATGGCTGGCACATGTCAGACCCCTAGTCACACTGCGGGGGGCGGGCGGGTGTGGGTGTAGTGATGAGGTTGCTGGGTTGGTTCTGTGGCTGTTGTTAGGTACCATGCAGGTCATCATTCTCCCGCTCCTGGCAACCCCCCGTGACCGCAGAGACCTGCCTCAGAGTTTTCTACACGGCCAGCTTTACAGGAGCAGATCGCCAGGCCTGTGGGTTCGAAACACCAACCTTCCGGTCGGCAGCCAAGCACTTAGCTGTAGTGCCACGGGGCTCCTGGTTGTGGTGGTGTTGTGGAGAATGGCTGTGCTTTTCGGGCTGTCACACATAAGCCTTTGTGACCATCATGAGAGAAAGGCCCATTTGATGTCACTGCTACTGTCCCCTTCTCCAAAGGGAAGTGGGGAAGAGACTCTGAACCCCGGGGACTGGGGGAGGGTGGTGAAGGGGCCATCCTAAGCCTTATTTGTGCCCCATTTGCCTTAGAGCAGGGGTCCTCAAACTACGGCCCACAGGCCACATGCGGCCCGCCGAGGATATTTATCTAGGCCACCGGGTGTTTTTGCCCTGTTTTGTTTTTTACTTCAAAATAAGATATGTGCCGTGTGCATAGGAATTTGTTCATAGCTTTTTTAAAAACTACAGTCCGACCCTCCAACGGGTCTGAGGGACAGTGAACTGGCCCCCTGTTTAAAAAATTGGAGGACCCCTGCTTTAGAGTCTCCACCCCCAGGAAGCCTCATAGCTGCTCTGAGCCCATCAGAGACCCTTGCTGTCCCCTTTCCCTGAGACCAGACCGCAATCCATCCTCCCAAAACTGAAGGCTGGCCAGCATGAAGAAGAACTATTTATTGATAGAGAAAGTCTAGAGTCTAGGCAAGGAGGGTAGGTTCCAGAGAGGAAGCAGAGGGTGGGAGGCCAGGAGGAAGGAGGGAGTTCCGGCCGAGGGTCTAGGCGGCAGTGGCGAAGCCCACCCTGTTGTTGCCCATGTCGTAGACGGAGTAGTAGGACCTGAGGAAGACATCCCCAAGGATCCACAAGGGCTGGCCGTTCTGCGAGGGCAGGTAGGTGGGCTCGACCCCCACGGTGCAGTAGCCGTTGTTCTGTTCAACAGAGAAGGGCAGCGCTCGGTCACGCGTCCCGCTAGCTGGCCCCTGCTCAGTGCTGAGCCGCAGTTCACAGCGGCAGAGGTCAGCGAGTCGGGGCCTCTATCCGGAGGGGTCACGGGTGGTGGCAGCACCCCACGAGGGACTGGTGGGCGAGGCTTCTGCAGTGGGTGGGTGTGGGCTGCACTGGCCTTCTCCAGGGTCCCCTGGCCCAATGATGGGAGCCTGCTTGCCCAAGCCTCCCTCGGAGCCAAAGGAACATGGATTCGGGCCGCAGCTTTACCCAGATGGGCCACACAGCCTCTAGTCCGTTACTGAAACCTCTGGACATCGACTCGATTTCCTTTGTGAATGGACCTCCACATTGCCCCCCAGCATGTGGTGAAATGCAAACCCGAAAGCCTGGACACAGCGGTTCCCGGTTCCCCGCATAGCGGCTCTCTCCTCCAGCCAGGCCTCTCCCCACTCGTCTATGCGTATAACTAACACGACCCACACTCATCGTGGGCAGCCTCAGTCCAGGGGAGGAGCCTGGGGGAGGGGGTCGCCCGGACATCGCACCAGATGGGGAGGCTGGGCATTTCCAGCTTCCCACCCCCAGGGATGGGGACTCACGTTGAGGATGTAAGCGGAGGGGGGCAGCGGGAACTGCACGCCGTTGATGATGAAGGTGAGGGTGGGCAGGTTCTGGATGTTGTTACAGTTCACAAGAAACTGTGGAGGAGAACGGGAGCCAGCTGAGCACGCGGCACCCAGGGCCACTTTGGGGATGGGAGGGGCAACCCCGAGGGTCAGGCTGCGTAAATAGAACACCCCTGAGTATCTGGGGAGACCCACGCAGAGTCCTTAGCCACCACCACCACTGTGAAAACACTGTTGTAGCCTGAATGTGCCCCACAGGCGATCAACTCTGTCCTTTCTCTGCCAGGGCCTTTGAAGCACACAGTTGCAGGAAGGACCGCCCTCCAAAGCCCCTCCCTTAGGAGTGTGTTGACAGCACAAACTCTCTGCTGGGCACAGGCCAGAGAGCAGGGGCCTCTAGAGAGGCGGCTGGAGGGGTGGAGGGCTGTGAGGAAGGAAAGGGTCCCCCGTGATGCTCACTTGTTGCCCCACATTTCTTGGGGAGGGGGCTGTTCTTAGCCCCAAACCCAGCAAGCGTCAAGTCTACTTCCTCCGAATGACTGCAGCTCAGAAGGAATTCTTGCTCCCCTGGACTCGTGAGCATAAACCTCTGCCCCCCCCCTGTCATCCTCCAGCACACACACACCTGCTGCCCCCACGCCAGTCTTCCCAGCCACCACCACGCCCGCACCCGTACACACACACACACATACACACACACTCGCCCCTCCAGGGCCTGGGAGTGGCTAGAGGCACGGAAGGCTGTAATTAATCCACTGCTGTGCTGGGTCAGACACAAAAAGGGAGCTGTAGTGAGATGGAGAGACCCTGAGGCTGTGACAACGTTGTGACAACGGGCCCACACCTCACAATCGAGAGGCTAGCGCAGGACAGGGCAGGGTTTCATTCTGTGAACACAGTCGCTATGAGTCGGACCTGACCCAACGGCTTCACAGCAGCGGATGGGGGGGGGGGGGCTGTGTCAGACCCACCTGTCCATACTGGTCCTCCTGGGCCCCAGTGGCCTGCAGAAGGGCGCTCATGTACTGCTGGGGGACAGTGAGCAGAGAGGTGCCTGTGTCCACGATGGCCTGACAGCCCTGGGAGCACCAGCCGGAGGCCTGGCCGCCGATGAGGAACCTGGCAGGGATAGGGGCGCAGGCTCAGCACCCCACCAGCTCAGGGCAGCTGATGCACCTTCTGCAGGGCCGACCCCGCCATCCACTGCCTCACAAAGTCTACCCCAAAAGCAACATGGTCATCGAACCCATTCCTACTCACAGCGACCTTGGAGGACAGGGTAGAACTGCCCCTGTGGGCTCCCGAGACCGAAACGCTTTACAGGGGGCAGAACGCCCCGTCTTTCTCCCTTGGAGTGGCTGGTGGTTTTGAACTGTGGACCGCGCAGATCCCAGCCCGACTTGTCACCCCCAGGGCTCCTGAGAGTCAACCCACGGCCACCTACATGCCGTGCAAGGAAGGTTCCTGATACAGTAAAAGCAGAACCATCGGCTGTATAGGGGGGAGGAACAAACAAGGCCCCCCCCCTCCCGCTTCCCATCTGGAAGCCCCTGGAGGTGGACCGCTGGTCTCAGTGGTCAGGATGCCAAGTCCTGTCCCTTCCTCTGTTGTCCCCACCCCACCCCTCCTCTCCCTGACCCCTCAGCACAGGGCCGCTGTGGCAGCATTGTGGGCAGTGTGGGGACTGGGGTGGGGGAGGGGGTCCTCTTCTTCCCACCCACCCAACACTGCCCGTGTGTTTGACATGGGGCGCCCACGGCCACAGGATGCCCCACACTCACTCCTCAATGCCAATCTGCCAGTAGAGCTCCTGGGTGACCGGGGCCCAGTAGATCTGGCCAGTGTACAGGCTGTTGTCCACACCCCCGAAGACGAGGGCGCCCCCGTTCTGAGAGCTTGGCTGACTGCGGGAGACAGGGAGCGGTGGCTCAGCAGGGGGCCCTGGACAAGGACCCCACCCTCCCCGGCTGGACAGAATGCACAGAGCCCCCGAGTCCCCCGGAGCTTCACGGGGAAAGGTTGGAGGAAGACAGGACTGGAGATCGACTTCCCAAAACTCAGCCGCTGAAAACCGCATGGAGCCTGGTCAGCTGGAGTCTACACCCAGGGTTGGAGGCCACATACAGCCACCGGCCCTGGCTCTAGACGGGGACTCTCCGAGGGCAGGGCTCCCGGCACCAAACGGAGTCCAGCTGCCCCTCCAGCTGCCACACGTCACCAGGGGCCCCTCTGAGCCTGCTCTTTCCCCCAGGCCTCATGAGAGGTGAGAGAGGGCCGGCCCATGGTTGGTTGGTTGGGTCTTGTGTTGTTTTCAGAGCTGTCCGCTGACAGGGCACCCAGACTGTGGAACAGGGCACAAAAGCCAAGTATGCCGGCGCCATTCACCCAGAGTGACCCAGTGGGCAGTCACATCCCAGGGACCGAGCCCCGGAGAGTGGCGTCTAAAGGACCTCTAGCAGCAGGGGCACTTAGGTGCTTGGCTGCTCAGCGAAAGGTTGGTGGTTTGAACCCACCCAGGGGCTCCGCGGGGGAATGACCTGGCCATCGCTCCGTCAAGATTCAGAGGGACAAAAACAAACCGCAGCCATCAACTCGACTGGGACGCATAGTGGCCCCCGTGTGGTACGTCTTTACCGGAGCCTCATCTGTCTCTGCTGGGTTTGAACTGCTGACCTTGTGGCGAGCAGCCCCACAATGACTGACTCCATAGCACCACAAGGGACCCCCACCCTAGAAAACTTTGTGGGATGGTTCTGCTCCGCCACGTGGGGTCCCTGGGATTGGAGAATCCACCCCACGCTCCCTAGCAACAGAAGGCGCTAACTGCATCTTGCAGGCAGTTGGAAGGACAGTCGGGCCAGGCTCATCCCTAAAGGACCTCGGCTGGCGTCTGACGGTTGAGCATCTGTTAGGCTTTGGACGTGGGTGAGGTGTAGGGTTAGGGGGCAGCAAGGCCTGGCTAGAACCATAGACCAAAATCAGTGAAGCAATTGATTACCATACACAAGACAGGCCCAGAAGAAGGAGAGGAGCTGACGGGCCCTGGGCAGGAGGTCAGACAGCTGGTAGGGGGAAGGTTGGAGGCCGCCCCCAGGTAGAGCCCTGGGAGGTCTTACACACCAGAGCATGGGGCCTCCGAGGTCCAGGGCGGCAGGAGGTGTGGGCTGGGAGCTCACCTGCTGAGGTAGAAGCTGAAGACGGGGCTGGTGAGGGCGTTCTCCTGCAGCATGCCCTGCAGGGCTGTGGTGGCCCCCCCCATGGACAGGGAAGGGTAGGCCATGCCCATGATGCCATCAAACTGTGCGTAGACAAAGTTGGTGCCCGGCTCATTCTCACTCAGACCGAACTCCTGGTTGGGGACCTGGATGCTCTGGACCTGGAGAGGGCAGAGAGGAGCAGGGGCGTGACAAAGTGGACCCTACCCACCTCCCTGGCTGCCCCAGGGAGCCCCTCTCCCTGGTGCCTCTCTCGGTCTCACAAGTCTTGCAAGAGCCACCTCTTGTCCAAGCCATTGCATTCACCCCCGCCCAGCCCCTTCTTCTTAGGGTCCCTGCAGGGGATCAGAACCCCTGGAGGATCAGGACAGGGTCCGCCTTGGCTATGTGCTGGCCTCGGGGTACGTGGAGGCGTTCCTCCATCCACGAGTCTCTTCACGAGTCCGATGAGAATCCAAGCCTGGCCCTGGCCACATGGCCCACGCCCCTCGGTAGGAGCTGGAGGCAGAGCTCACTCACAGTCAGAGTGTCGTAGCCGAACAGGCCGGTGAGGCTGCCGCTGCCGTACTGCAGGGAGAAGGTCTGCCCGTTGGTGGAGTAGGTGGAGGACTGGCTGGGGTTGAATCGCTTGTGGCCAGCTGCAGCGGTGAGAAGGCCAGGCGGGTGAGTGGGGAACATCTCCCCTGTCTCTGCCCATCCTGGGGGCCTCAGCACCCCACCCCTCACAGAGGAGGGCTGGGCTAGCCTTGCCCTCAAAGCCCTGTCACGGTGCTGACGGACCTGGGTCTGTCCCATGCCTGTGACCTCCCTGTGGGCAGGTTGCTGACACGCCAGCTTCTTAATCCTGAGCTGCAGCATCAGGCCTGACTCAGGACCCAAACCAAACTGTATTCGCTGTCATCGAGTCCATGCCAGCTCAAAGAGATGCTGCAAGGCAGGGTAGAACTGCCCCTGTAGGTTTCCGAAACGGGAATTCTTTACAGGGGTAGACAGCCTCCTCTTTCTCCCATGGAGCCACTGGTGGTTTTGAACTGCGGACCTTGCAGTTAGCAGCCCCATGCGGAACCACTACTCCACCAGGGTCCCCAGGGCCAAGCAATTACTCATCAGATGAAGGACGGCTGAACTGCTGGCCCTCCCAGCATGCCCCCAGCCCTCTCCCTATCCTAAAGCTGGTCAGACTGGGAACCTGAGATGTCCTGAGGGGAGACAGGGAGGGACGCCTGGGACAGAGGCACCAAGACCCAACCCCCAAGGATTTAGAAAGGACTGACAGCTGTAAGGACAGGACCATCCCCTGCCTCTCAAGCCTGAACCAGAATGGGCTCACACCCTGTCTGGTCCTCTCCCACCCCCAGGAGAACTCTGGGTGGGCACCCTAACTAGTGGAGTCGGGGCTCAGCCGTCCTATGTGACCGTGGACAAGTCCCCCGCTGCCACTCTTCCGAGCCACCCCTCCTGGAGTGGATCCCTTCCCCAGAGAGCGTGTCTCCAGCCCCACCTGCCAACCTCTGCCCACCTCCATCAGTCCTCCCCCACACACACACTCACTGCAGGCCTGGCTCTGGCAGTAGACAGAGGGCACCCACAGGTTGGAGGAGCCGGTGTCAAAGAGGACCAGGAAGTTCTGGGGTGGGGTCCCGATGCTGATCTCGCCAAAGTAGGCAGCCTAGGCAGCCGGTGGGGAGGAGGGCAACATAAGCAGGCTGTTAATTCTGGAAGGATCCAGGCCACACGAGACCCCAAGACGTCCGTGGACACAGCAGAGACATGACAGCCCACGCCAGAGCAGAGGCCGAGTTTTCCCTGCTGCTGCAGAGGTCTCTGCGGAGAGGTCATAAGAACACCCGGCCCCCAAGCACCCAGACCCCTGCCACCAGGTTCTGCCCAAGAGCCATCTGCGGAGGCAGCAGGCCACAGGGGAGCGGGGCACTGAGGCAGGAGGGAGCGGCGGGGACTCACATCCATATAAGCCATGGGCTCGTAGGCCACGCTGAAGTGACCGAGGTACTTGCTGCCAGGGTCATACTTGTGGGTCTTCAGGTACTCATCCAGTAAGCCCTTGTCCTTCATGGTCTCTCGGATGGACTTCATTTTCTTCAAGGGGATCCTGCAGAGGGGCTGCGTGTCAGGCAGGGCCCACCTGCCCACCTGCCTTCCTGAACGCCCCGGAAGCTCCCCTCCTCTCTGTCTGTCTCCGCCCCGCGCTCTCTCACCCTGAGGCTCGGCCTCTGCTGCCTGCTCAAGTGTCTGTACTTGGGTGTGTCTCCCTCCGTCTCTCCTGCCTGGGTCTGTGCCCACTGTCTCTGCCTCTTCTCCCCCCACCCCCCCACTGCTGCTCCCCCTCCTCTTTCAAACCCTTTCTACGGCCTTGCTCTACAATTCAGAAAACCACGCTGTACACCCGTGCATGCCTCTCCCCCACCACCTCCAGGGGTCTCCTAGCTCTCCCATCCCCAATCACCTCTAAATGCCCCCTCACTGGTTTCAGACATGGTAGCGGGGACACACACACACACACACCCCAAGAGAACCTCCTGTTCTGGCAAGTCCGGAGCACCTGGCTGGATGTGGCTGAGCAGAGCTGAGCCAGCACTAACCTGGGGCTCGGGCCCCTGCTGTGGAGTGTATGATCTGGGTGGACCGGTGCTCTTCTCTGGAAGCTAGGGTCGTGGGAAAGCTGACCCAGGGGTTCGACAACCCAGCTCAGCTCTGGAATCCGGGCTTCTGCTCGTATCAGGGTCTGTACAGCTACACACACACACACACACACACACTTCTGCTCGTATCAGGGTCTGTACAGCTACACACACACACACACACCCTCGGGCCCTTCCCTGGGCAGCCTGCCTGCTGCCATCATTGCCTGGGACTTCTGCCGCCCACCCACACCTTCTGCAGCCTTTTTTTTTTCCGGGTAGGGGATGGGGTGGTCCCTGCTCCTTGCACTCCTCTGTTGGACTCCCCCTTGCCTTGGGACCTGGAGACCTCCAGGAAGTCTCCCCTAAACCCACCGTGAAGACAGTAGCAAGCAGCTGCATGCTAACCGCCTCTGCAGAGTCCACTCAGGGCCTTAGCCTCCGGAATGCCTCGGTCCTGGTGGCCTGCCAGGCAGCCTTCCTGAAGGCCCTCCCGTGAGCCCCACCCCTTACCCCATCAGACTTGGGGGCCTTGCTCCCCACCCACCCACCCCTCGGACTCATTAGCACACCAGACATTTCCTGCTCAGCTGAGTGGGGAGTCTGACAGAGTAGCCAAGTAACATTTGACCCCTGGCTACGTGTTGGGTTGCTAACTTCAAGGTCAGCAGTTTGAACTCACCAGCAGAAAGACGAGCCTTTCTGTCCCCGTAAAGACTTAAAGACTGAGAACCCCACAGGGGCAGCTCTGCCCTGCCGTCTGCGGTCCCTGCGAGCCAGCCGGCATCAACTCTGAGACAGTGAGCGGTGAGGGAGGTTTGCTAGGAGTCTCTGGGAGGGGCAAATGGCTGAGGGGCTCGCCATGGTGAGCTGAGAGACCGGCGGTTTGAGCCCACCCACAGGCACCTAGGAAGATAGGCCTGGCGATCTACTGCCAAAGAGCCCACTGTTGGAAACCCCACGGAGCTGGTCTACTGCACACCCACGGACCTCTGGTCTCC